AATTTAAAAATTTTTAAAAAAGTTCTATAGTAAAATTTTAGAATTGGTTAATTTTAAAATTAAATATTTTTTAATTAGGCTATATAAAAAAAAAATTTTGGTTTTCATATCCCGGCCGGGTCAAAATTCACTAAGCCCCAAATTTTTTTTTTATGGCGCAGCAGATAAATAGTCAATAGAAATGCGCAATTATCAAATTGATAATCCAAAAAAATTTATTCAATAATACAAATATTTCGCTTGTACAAAGATTTACAAAGATATTTTATAACAGTAGTAATAGTGTAGTAAACTTCGTAATTTAACATTTGTAATTAACGCCTAACACTAATCATTTAGTTCGACGTTGTTTTCCCTTTTTATTTGTACTTTGAGCCCATTTAAACTGCTTTTTTGGTAAAGGTTTTCCATTACATTTAACACACAAAGACCGTTCGCTCTTTGGAGATTTTGTTACATTTTGATTTCCGCACAAGTAGCAAACAAGAGAGAAGATTCCTGCCGAATAATACGGCTTTTCAATCGGTGAAGCACAATTCCAAGAATTATTTACGAAAACCCGCTGAAAAAGTTCATACAAAGGATCTACTGTGATGTTCTTTTCAGATCCAACCTCAGTTTTAGCAGAATTTTTGTTATTCGTTCCATCCTCCTCCTCACTGTAACTATCTTCGTCATTAACTTCATCTTCATCATCACTAATTTCAGCACTTTCTATATTCAAATAAGTAGGTTCGGCAATTGCATCATCAGTTTGTTAATTTTCATCAAGTTGTTGGTCATCCTCTCGCAGGTCATCACTTTGCAAGTTGTCACCTTGTAGGTTGTCATCTTGTAGGTTGTCATCTTGTAGATCATCACCTTGCAGGTCGTCACTTTGCAGGTCATTACTTTGCAGGTCATCACTTTGCAGATCTTCATCTTGGTTGTCATTATCATTAGTGGCCTCTATGCCGGCAGTCTTGGTTGTGGTGGTAGATGTGAGATCACAGGTATTATAAAATGACATTCCACATGTATACAAAATTGTGTCAAGAAAAGATTCTAGCATTTCACATTCTTTTGCTAATAATTTTTTTGCGCTAAATAGTAGATGTGGTTTTTTACATTCTGAACAAATCACAGTAATTCCGACGTTTTTGCACGTATAAAAGAAGGGCTAAATGGCATGGTATGTTTTGCTACAATAGTAGCTTTTGCTTTACCTGATTTTGTAGTTTTCAATCTAGTATTTTTAAGTGAAGGTCTATGATCCTCAGTTGTAGGTGTGCTATATAGTTCCTCGAATGACTTATAATGAATACCTTCACCTGGAACCAGATCGGGAATACAATGAAGTTGTTCAAATTCTTCTTGAGAACATCAAGGTGGTAAACAAATCATACATGTTTCACTTCCACATTTCTAAATAGTAAAAAAATAATGCCTTGTTTTATAGCAGTGTTTTATGAATTCCTTCAACCGTGGCTACAAGAAGACAAGTATCATTATTAATTATATTATATATATAACTCGACATCATCCTAAGTAGCAGAAACATTGTTCTTGATCCACTTGACCATTTTTATTGACCTGCTCAAAGTTTTGAATAGTTAAGGATGATTAAGAAAATATGATATTTGGTATGAAATCTCCAAATACATATTCGAACAACTGTGCATATTATATCGTTTTAATTAAAATTAATGTGAATCTTTTTAAGACAGGCCACTAAAAATAAGTTGAATGATCAAAAACAATGGTTTTGCATCAAAGTATATTGAGGTCATTAAAAAAAAAAAAAGTATTTAAAAGAGTAAAAATTTATATAGCGCAAATATTATAAACGAATAAGCGGGATCAGGTTATGTTGTACACTAGTGAGTTATTATATTAAGAGTATATATATAAGTGACGCACTTAGAGAAGTGTTATTATTTTACTTACTCTTTTGGTTATGCTTTCTGCTGTACGATCTTGCTGAGATACATTTTCATCAATCAAATGAATAGTACTCCATAATTTCATAATCTCATTTTCGGTTGCCACATCAAACGTTTAAAAAGGTATGTCTTTTAATAATTGGTATTCAAAAATGCTGCGTATTAGGTGAATTGGTTGCTGGACACTTTCAATAAACACGTCTTTTAAGGTAGGATTACTTTCTGCAACACGTTGAATTTCTTTCATTGTATTT